ATAATTATACACGTAATATCGCGCTTGATAGACTATTCAACAAGATTATAATTTAAGAAGTTATTTATTTTTAATTTTCATATAAATTTAATCATTTTCCAATTATACTATAATGTGTCACTTATGTATTTTAAAACTGTTGAACAGTTTATCACAACAATTTGTATTGTAGTACTCCTTTTGGCAACTCTTGCACATATTCTGAAACTTATTTAATACTTTAATATGTGTTAAACATACATATATACTGTTAAAACAAAATGGTACCTTAATTGCAACATTTTGTACATGTCTGTGGTAAAGAAGATAAATGGTGTATGATATTTTATAAATTATATACACGTTTACTATTTAATATTGTTTATAACATAAAGATACAAAGATAAGCATTTTAACATGAATCCTACAAATTGACATTGATAGTTGTGACATTAAACAATTTGAAAGTCATGATTTCATAGCATAGTTTTAACATTAAGTCAGGTGAAATCTTATTTGTGCAACATTATTATCTGTCTTTATTTCATGGACAAGTTGTAAAAGTTTGAAAGACAAAGTTTAATGTAAATACATTACATGATATTATACTTGAAACATAACTAATGTAGAAAAACTGTGTAAATAGACATGTAACAAATCATACATTTACATACATAAGTGAGTAATTACAAAATAGACATACTTTCTCTTAATTACAATTAAAAATTTGCTAAGTTCCATTTTATGTTTTATACATTTTACCAATCTCCAAAGTTGACAATTTTGTATTTAATTGTATAATGTGTTATAACTTGACAAAATTGTGGTAGTCTATGAATACTAGTATTTACCTATGCCACACACTACATTGTTCTAATACATATAATCTCTATTGACTAACAAACATATAAAGTTAGTGCTTCCAGTGTACATAAATACCATTAATTAAAGGATAAAAAATATTTGTTTGTATAGCTTACAATATATCCATATAATATCATTTTGAGTTATAATTAATACATATAAGTAAAATTGTGCTAATTATTTACCTTCTTATTGCACAGCCATTGCATAATAAAATGAATTATAAATTAAATCTTTATCATTGCATTATTAGTTTTTCAATGGAAAAGGTAGTATATCAACATTCCTTGTTCAAGTGCATATGTGCAGAATATGTAACATGTTTAAAAAATCAATATATTCTTTGCTATAAATAAAATCCAATCAACTATTGCAGTCATAAATCCAATATAAAACATGTATAGATATACATAGAAGCCTATATATAATTCACCATAAAAATAATGATTAATTATTATATTATTTGTAATTCATATTGGCACTGTTTCCACGTGCATAAGAAATAGAAAAATTTTACTGTCAATAATAATACTCCTTCAATCACACCAAAAACTACCATCTATGGAACTTAGCAAAAAAATAATTTTATAATAATACAATGCTAAAACTAGTTAATAGTATGCTTATGTTTGGCAGCTCTTTCATCTGATGAGAGCATACTAATGATTAAATTAAAAATTTTAATTGCACTAATTATTACAGTTTAACTAATTGATTAGAAAACATATTGTATATCATTTTTTACTGTTTTGTAGAGAAGTATATAGATAAATGTATGTTATAATTGCCACTGAATATTGCAACATATTTATCTGGTGCAAAAAAGTAAGAATTATAATTAAAACATAGTGCATATTATTATATATATGCTTTTTTCATGATACAGTTTTTTTATAATTGTTCAAGATGCTTAAATATAAAATTGTTTATAGTTAGCCTTAGAAATAAAAAAATAATATGTTATTTGTTAAA